AGATTGGTGCACCTGTATATGCACTTCCAGCATATTATGCTAGAACTCCAGCACACGAAAAATTCCAGCATAATATACTGACGATTGGAGCACCTGTGTATGAAATTCCAGCATATTATGTTGGACCAGTATATTATATTGGAACTCCAGTATATTATGATTGAGTTCCAGTTGAAACTCAATCATAATATACTGGAGTTCCAGCATAATATACTGAAACTTCAGTATATTATGTTGGAAGTTCACATGTAAAAAATTCAAACTCCAGCATATTATGCGGGAATATTTTCCGGATTTTGAACAGTATTTTTTGTTCAAATTTATCTTTACATGAAAAGTGACTAAATTTCGATTACTTTTGAAACGGTGATTTTTTTCAATTACCACTTATAAATCTAGCTATTTTTTTAATTTCACTCCGGAGTACTTGATATACATTTAAAATGGAACCATAAAACCACAGCGGTGCAATCAAATCGAACATCCTAAACACGCGTAAGAATATGGGAGCTAACAAGCGAACTACGAGGATAAGAAAGGTTAAAAATCGAACCAGAACTAGGTCATGACTCAACCAAACTGTCCACGCTTCTCGTGTATTGTCACAAGTTAAGGTGATTTTGTGTGCCATTTGTCACTGCCTAACTGATGGCAGCGACTGAAAATTTACTACTTCGCCCCTCTAAACAGACCCGAGATGGCTGTCTGAGAGAAATTGCTGGGAATTATTTTAGTCCAATGCCACTGATACGATTATTATATTAGAACTGAGAAATCATGTGTCGCAAGACGAGCAACGTACAACAGCAAACAAAATCTTTTGCTATCACCAAACAGCAGTTCAAAGAAAAGAATATTGGTTGTCAAGTTCGGTCATAATGACCTTCCAAAGCTTCCAATTTTAACTGTCAGTTCGATATAAAATTTTAAATTAGATACAACACCTGATAATGAGAAGGATCCAAAGAATTGTTGCTATGATATTGCGCCTTGCAATTGAGGGTCCAGTTAGAAGAGTCCTCCTAACACTGAAGTTATAATAATCCACTGTAACAGGTGCGCTTAATATCATGAGAATTGGAAGCAAAGACAAACTTCCCTAACCAGAGTCCAATTTCCCTCCTGTAGCCTTAAGCATCATATATTATAGAGACCAGAGAAGAAATACCTTTATTCCATTGTGCAATCTTTAACGGCAAGAGGTTCATACCATTGTGCACCGAATCCAGCAGCTTTTCGTGCTTGCTCATTAAAAGGAGGCTTCAATGGCCCTCTGAAATGTGTCCTCACAGTGGAGTGGAACCTTTGAATGACTTCATTGTCTACATCCACGGTGTCACTGTTTTCTTGTGACGAGAGGTCGCCTGGATTTGGATTTCTTGATCTCAAGCAAAGATACTTGAACCATTTTACTCCAGCAGCACAGTGAGTTATTTCTTCGGGATAAACCACATTCTCCAATAATTCAGCTGTCTGATTATCACCGCCATTGCGGAAACGGGATATTGTGGTTGGTATCACATCAAGTCCTCTTGCCTACATTCTCAAAAAATGCGAAGTCAGCGATCTGGTATGGAAAAGTGAAAACGATGCTACAAAATAGAATGATGATGAACTGCATAAAACAAGCCTTTGATCAATACCACTGTTGAGAAACTTGTTGATATATAAGATATATTGGAAGTCCACACTATTCATTTTCCTTGACTTTTAAGTTATGCTAATACTTCAATTTTGTCTAAGACTTGTGCATATCCATCACAGATGCCTAAAATATGTCTAACCGCATGAAATCACTTTATTATACCCTTGTTTTCATGTTAACCTGGAAACTAGTTAAGGATCACTAGTGTCAGCAATGAACGTTATATACTGAAGAAACGAATAACTGAGGTTAATAGTGATATCGCAATGCAAAATTGCAGCAGTCTGTTAATATTTCAGCTAGTAATGATCATGAATCTGATCTATTAGTGCCAGATTGACATAGCTTGCTGACCACTCAATTATTATCACGTAATAATTTATATGTTATGCATCGTAAAATTGAAGTGACAATAAATAGTTAAAAAAGATCATGAACGAAGGAAACTTGATTCTTCCTTTTGTTCAAATTTTGGTTGTTTCATATGTAACTATCATATATAATATAACTACAAAGTTACAGTGAGCTCTTACATTATGAATGTTTCACATTTAAATGGATGAACTGCATAAAGCAAGGAATTTTCTGGAATGAACTCTTATCAGAGGGCTTATGAATTTTTTTTATCAAAATTATTGACAAAAGTAAGACATAAAAACTTGGTTCAGAACCCAGTGACTTCCAATGAACTCAATCATCGAGACTTCACAAAGAAAATGTCTTTTTGTTAATTCATTCATGAATATCCTGATTTCTTTTATCATGTGTAAGAGATAGAGATAAAACCTCATGAACGCAGTGTTCAATAGCCAAACGAGCCAATAGATCTTTGGAAGTAGCAATGGCTGAATCCCACAAGCCATCATGAGCGGGTAAAGCTCCATAGAAAGATCCGAGTTCCTTAAGCCGTGCAGCAAGTAGAGTAAAATGCCGCCCTTCATCTTGTGCAACTTTCACAAAATCAGTGAAAAATTCTCTTGGCATTGACTCTTGCTTGCCGAATCGAGCAATTATATCCTGTAGGACGACCAATGGCATATATAATCATACCGGGAAAGCTAATACAATAATTGATTTTGAGAAGTAACTGGTATTTAAAAATGCATATATCCAACAATGAATCATCAAACAGAGGTGTACCATCCACCATGCTAGGTCACAACAGCGCTAACAACCTTGTTTGATGTTTCACTATCCATGAGCAATCGTACGGTGAAGCAGGCCCATTTCCTTCAACTTAAGCTACATACATATATTTATAGAAACACACACACACACTAAGTTTCAATCTGATTGTCACAAAGAAACTTGTGAGTGCAGTGGTAAACAGCTCACCAGTTGGACCCGCCTATCTTTGCCTACCTTTACAAGAATAACCCCTCTTGTTCCCGTTTCTAGTGCAAAACAACCCATTCCACTTGAGAAATTATATCTAGTCTACCATTTTCTGAACCAAGTACTATATCCGTTACAATCAAGCATTTTACCATCATACCAAAAGCTACATCTGATAGCAAGAGCGCAACTCATTTCTTAACCAAGGCCTTCAAGCAATCCATGTACAATCACGAGTACGACCGAGCCATTCCCGTCCAATCATTTGGGCCTTGCCATAGGCAGGATGTTGGCGTTACCCAACAATATCTAGAAATCTCAGCATTCATTAATTTGCTCTATTACTAATTTATCTTATCAGCAAAGACCCTACGAATGTCTTCACAAGCTAATAAAGACTAAATACTTGTTTTCCCAAAAAAACTCAAATATACTTGGGAATACATAACATAAGCGAAAAAATAGAGGAAATCAAGAAATGAGGGTGCTTTTTATTACCCAAGACAAGTCAATAGCCCAGCTTTCAGTGTGAACAAGACTGTGTACAATGGCCTGTCTACTCTGCAAGCTTCCCGCTTTCCCAAGTTTTGGCATGAGACTTGGCGACACCAACTTCACCTATTCAGCATTATAAGCATTTCCCAGTAAATTTCACGTACAAATATAGCAAAACAAGCATTTGGATCTCTTAGACATTTCATCGAACAGGTGGTAGACATAGGAAACAATAATTCGAGCAACACAAAAATCATTACATTTGTGAGACGGGCTGGGCGATCAGGAACAGGGAGTTCAACAGAATGATTATAAGGCTGAGAAATGAGGCCTTTTAGCCATCTATTGGCTACTTCATCGCCGATATGAGCCTTCTCGACTGGGTCAGCTGTGTTCAGAACTCGTAGTGCAGCTTCAACGAGAGTCTCTTCTGTGCTCATTACTCGTTATTCTTCTTGTTTGGTTTGTGATTGTAATATGAAGGGAAAAAAATGTTGCAAATAGAAGAATTTTCTGACCTTTTGATTGGAAGTTAGGAACCGGATGGAAATGGAAAAGCAAGAAAAAGTACAAAAATCATTGAATATCATTGACCAGGTCTCTATATTTAGTTTTATTTCAGGTTAATATTATAGTACAAAATAACAATAAAAAAATAGAAAGCATATGATTTAAAGTAGACATACTAACATACTAAAGACATATTCTCAACCATTGCTATTGCATATACAATCTTTTCTTCCATTACACTTTATATATTGTTTAAAATTATATATTTTCCAAGATAACTTTTTTTGTATACAATTTTAGGCATATTTCGTCTCTTTTATAACTTTTATTCAACATGATTTTAAATTTATTGAAAATAAATATTTAAACGTCTACACATGACATGATGAAACTATCTTAGATATCTTATCTCTTTCTATCCTTATGTGAGCTATTTATACTTTCTCAGACATGTAATTATTTTTATTTTATTGAATATTTGTATGACTGGATATTCATGTTAACATCCACAATTTTGTATACATTATGGCTACATCAAAAAAGAAGCTTGAAGAAAGAATTAGAAAAGATCAACTAACCTCAATCACTTTGAAAGAAAAAATTAAAGTGGCTAAATGACTAAGTGGAGGCCTTTTATTATAGAAGAATAAATATAATACGACGGTAATAGTAATTATATTTTTATTTTTAATTTTTAATGAAGGGTAAAATTAAATAACACTCGATAATTGAAGAGTAAATTTAGATATTTTCATTATTTTCATTATTTTTTTTATATAAAATACTAAGAGAATAAATCCAGAGCACAAGTGACAATCAGTATATTTAATTTGTAATATACATATGAACTTTGATTTTTGAAAATTTTAAACAAAAATTATATAATTGAAACAAAACTGTTTGATGTCACTATTTTTATAGTTAGAAATATACAAAAAAAAAGGTAATTCAAAAAAATCTAATTAATAACACAACCTTTTTTTAAAATCTCGACATAAGATATTTTATTTGATTCTTTCATGTTAATAGTGTCATTCGTGAAACATAAGCAGTAGTAGAGTTTACAATTTCACTGCCTATTTCCGAGCTAGCTACTGAATCAGAGAGTAGTGAGTAGGGTTTTGTGCAGAGGTTTTAGAGATGGCGATGGCGAGTCACAGACCCGGCGAGTTAACTCATCATCGACTCCTCGATTTCGTTAAAACAGCGCTTATCAAAATCTTCGTCTCCCCTTATGCCTCTGTATGTAATCTACTCTCTCACACTATTATAATTTATGCTTCTGCCCAATACTTGAATTGTTACACATGTATGTATATAAATTTTGAAATTTCTGATTAAGAGCCCGTTTGGACATAAGAAATTTTTCCTTTTTTTCCAAAAAAAATTCACTTTTTCTTTAAATCAGCTTTTGTTTATAAAATTTTTAATTTTCGCTTGAACATGCATTTTGTAAATTTTTAGAAAATTTGAAAAACTCCGAAAAGCTATTTTTCAAAATTTTCACTCAAATCTCACAAAACTTCAAAAACTAACCCAAAATTATATTTATGTCCAAACAACTCTAAATTTCAAATACCATTTTCGCTTGAAAAAAATTTTCCACCTACTTTGGAATTTTACAATTCTTATGTCCAAACGCCCACTAAGTGTTCTTTTTTCAAACATATAATATGATATGTAGGTATGTGATATGTATTGTGGGAAAGTAGCTGATGTGGAGAAGTGGGATGAAGCTCAAATTGGTCACTACATCGGCATTGGTATGATCAGTATTACTCTTCTCTTGAATTCTTTTCTTCTTTTCTAAGATACATAATACACACACGCGCATAGTATATATACGCACAAACAAACAAACACATAAACTAGCCTAAAGATACTATTAACATGGTGTGAAACTGTTTGCCTTCCATCAAGCCCGACGCTTTTGGCAAAAGGCCTCACACCATTAAGAGTATCCCGACACCTTATATGTAGCTTCACTTTCTTTTCAGCTACCAATATTGGACTTTGCTCATCACATATATACGCATACATAAAATATTTTATTAGACACTCTTCCTTTTTCTTTGTTCCTAAAAGATTGACATACTTAAATATTTAGAGACTTTAATTTTAACATTTCCACTTTATCCTTAGTAAAAGGCTACTACACTAGTAGCATAAGATGTTTAAGAACAAGATTCTGAGCCTACGTTGGTATATATTTAGTTTATGTGTCAAAAGTCCCCAGTCAAACGCCTTCATTGAAAACTGAAACAGAAAGAGTAATACATTAACACACACTGTTCATATATAAAAAATTGAGCTTTGTGTTGAATAGATGTGGCAATGTCGGGAGTGAACGAAGTGAAGGAAGCGTGGGAGAGTCAGCGGAAGGCTTACACATCTGAGTTCATTGAGCTTGACCCTTGTATTGTGAGTCCAACAATTGTTTCTTTTTTTCTTTTTTGGGCATAATTTACTTGGTCTATGCTTAATTAATTTATGAATCAAGGATTGTGTTGGTTTTCCTTATGAGATTCTGTTTGGAAGGTGGGTTACTGTTTTGTATTTTACTTTCTTGATCAATTTCTGTTCTGTTTGAATGGCCAAGACTGTTGAAGTGATATCTAGCTCCAAGGGTGAATTGAATTTTATCTGAAAAGATTGAATCTTCATTCCCTCCTGCTTTACTTATATAGTTTGTATTTCAAGTAGTCCGTGTGCAAGTACCTTTTTAGTCTCTTGCCCTTCCTTCTGTTTCGCTGGACATTTTGTTTTTGTGCCTTAATTTTTTTTTCTTTTCCCTATTTGTGTAGTTGTGTGATTGGTTGCTATTCAGCAACACAAAGCAGATTGTTGTTGAGTTTATGGTTTTATCCAATTAATATTGCTTTTATTGTGGGGTGTCATTTCCCCTTCATTTGTTCGAGATGGTTACTGAGTTCTCGGCCTATGAATTTTATTGTATGTTTCTGTATGTTAAAGTGCATGACTGGTCTATTTGACATTTAATTGCATGACAGTACATTTTCTGTGCAGGAAGATATAGACTCCTATTGGAAGGACAAGGAAAAGCAGGCCGATATTGTTTTCTGCATGCACAATTTACAGGTTAGCTGCTCTTGTACTAGTGTCTTGTTTATGTACACTTCTAGCACCTGTCAGTAGCATTAAATTTAATCTGATATTTACTTGCAGTTGTGCTTTGATAGTGAAGAGAAAGCAAGGAGGTTATTGCATAATGTATCATCTTTGCTTAAACCTGGGGGTTACTTTCTTGGTATTACTCCTGACTCATCTACTATATGGTATGAAACTAAAAACTGCATGGTTGACTTATGTTGTTGTAGTCTTTTTTCTTTTCATCTTGCTGAAGTGGGGAGTCTTCTTAATGCTTTAAACTAGCTTATGTTATTTTGTCTCAGTTTCCGCCTAGTCTTATTTGGTTCTTTGCACTCCATGTGACCTTGTGGTTGCTGTAGAGGAAAATACCAGAAGAATGTTGAAGCATACTATAGTAGGAACCCATAGGACTTCCAAATTTAACCGTTTCAGATGTAAAATTAGCATTGCTGTACTCTCATATTTCTTGAAGAGATGAATGGAGAATAACAGAATTTCTAATTGTCCACACACTATAGTAGGTCATGATTCTTATTGTGATAATTCACATTATTCAACAAATTGAGAAAGGAAAAAAGTTAGATCCTTGTTTATGGGCTATAATCAATATGTCGACTTCATTCAGTATGTTGGATTATAAATTCCTCTTTCTTCTGTAATGACTCCTTGATTCTGTAGATTCATATTATTTGGTGTTCATTTACAGATATGTATAGTGTAGTCTTGTCCCACATTGGAAGAGGAGTAATATCTCCTTGTAGT